GAATCAACATAACTATGAAAATCAAATCCATCTTAGAGCATTTAAATATTTCCAGAAATGTTAGTGTCTTATCACTTTTTTCCCCTGAAAACAAATGGGAGGGCCTAGTCACTGCCTTTTGCTTATAATTAATCATGAAGGAATCTTATAAAATTGCCTTCCCCCATCACAGAATAGTATTAAGTTTAACTATTAGGATAATGAGAGTTTGATACTATTGAGCAACTGTTAATAAGCATTTCCTAACAGTGCCTGAGTTTTCCATTATTAATTGGTAAATCTTTAATTATTTGTGTTTTTAAGCATTATTTTATATGTATAAAACTTATGGGAGGTAGTACTTTCTTTAAAGAGACATTGGATACTCTTATGAACTATGTGAAATGCCGGTTTGTTCTTTGTAAGGACATATGAGAGAAGGCTATTCTCCACACACCTCCTGACCCTCCCCCCCATGCCCCTTCCCCTGCCAGGTAATTACTAGAGAGACTAGGGGTCGGAGGGTGAGAGGGGTCTGGCCAAAATGTACAGTCAATGAAGAGTGAGATCTGAAGTTAAAAGTAGTTAATGAATCAAAATTTAGTCTGAATTAGACTGTGAAGACCCAGAAGGAGAACCTAGAAGAAACATGAAGAATGAGTAGGCTGTATCCAAAAATGCAGGCCAAACTTTTGATGATCTCTCAATAATCAGCAAGAATCTGGCCTCTTCTAACCTCTCCCAGCTCCAAGTCTCAAATTTGCTTTCTCTCTCTGGTTTTATTTTGCTTCTCTCTCTGACTGATTGCTTTAAGTGTGCATATGAGATTGATGTGGGAGCATTCTTTGATGTCTATTTATCTTTCTCCAACTACTTAATTTCCTCTAATACTCAATTCCTAGGTATCAAACTACGTGAATCCTACCCTAACAGCTCTCAGGACTCTCCCCATGTTAGGGCTAATTGGGCAGTCTTTTTATCTCCTGTAACACTCAGTGCATATAATGAAACATGCAAAGATTCTTTTAAAATCTGCCTTTCACACTAGAGTATGAGTTTCTTCTGGCCAGGGGCTCATATTGTACACATTTTCCCCTTTGTACTTTTGTTTCCCTTATTCCTTATTTCCCCTGGAGTTAGCCTAGAGCTTAGCACATGCAGCAATTTGTTTTTTGATAAATAGGTATTAAAAAGAATTGGAAAAAAAGAACAGCAGGTAGGTTTGACAGAAGTCAAGCAGTGAGAAACTTGACAACGCGGATTCCAACCTGACATGTCTGTGGCACAGTCTCTTTTGCACACCTTGAGGCATGTACTTTGAGCACCCATGCTGGTTTGAAAGGTGAGTTGAACTCAATATGTGACAGATGATATAATCAAATGACTGCCCCTTCTCATTTGCCCACATTCCAAACTGCAGGATCCAAAGGGGATGCTTGGGATTCTCTGAGCTTTTAATTACCTCTCCTTTTTTTAGGTAAGTGCCTATTCTCCTTTGAAGTTTGTGCTCTTTCCCATGCCACACTTTATTAGCCCTTTTCTGCCATCATCTGCTGACCTCCTGGTCACTCTTTATTCACCAGGTCTTTGACTCCTCCCTCACAATGATCCCAAACTATCTTCCTGCATTAAAAAGATCATTTTGATTTCCACAAAGATGATCTTTACTTCCATTCTGGCTACAACTAATATTAGTAACTATTCACTAGACACAAACACACATCACTTCTAATATCCTAAGCACCAGCATCCCCCACCCACTGACCAATCATTTCTCTCCATCTTACTGTCACTGCACTTGTTTCTGACTTCACTGAATCACCAGCACCCACTTCCGCTACATAACAACCTTCCAATATTTCACACCATCTATTACTTGCTCTGAAACACCTTCTTTCCTTAAGTTGTTTATCATCTAGTATAATTTCTAGGCTATTCATCATCTTAGCTCTCTTCTCTGTCTTCCTTTTATGTCTCAATGTTTCTGCTCAAAGTCTGATACTCAGAACGGACATATTATTGCAGATATGATCTGACTAGGAGAAAGATAAGATCTATCTCTCTTGATCTTGGCAAAATGCTTGTGACATAGAGACCAAGATGCCATTAGAAAGGTTTAGAGCACAAATGCTCTTTGCTATGCTCATATCGAATCTAACTTCATCTTAACGGCCTTAAACAGCTGTCAAACTAGATCCCATTCTTCTAGACCAGTGGTTGGCAAACTCATTAGTCAACAGAGCCAAATATCAACAGTACAACGATTGAAATTTCTTTTGAGAGCCAAATTTGTTAAACTTAAACTATATAGGTAGGTACATTGTTATTAACTTAATTAGGGTACTCCTAAGACTTAGGAAGAGCCACACTCAAGGGGCCAAAGAGCCGCGTGTGGCTCGCGAGCCGCAGTTTGCCAACCACTGATTATTCTAGACATCCTGTAATTGATTTTAAACCTATACTTTATCTCTGTGAAATTTCAACTTTCAGACTTATTATTCAGTAAATATTAACCTTGGATATTGATTATATAACACAATATAAACTTTCTCCCCTAGCTTTATGTTATTTAAAAATTTTGATAGGCGTAGTTTCTTCATTTTTCTTCATGTGTTGATAAACATTTTAAAATATTAGACCCAAGAATACAATCTTCTGGGTGACCATAGAGAGTTCCCTGTAGGATATTTATCAATGTGGTTTGAGTATTCCTCCAGTTGCACACTTCACAAACTGGGGGTAACAAAAAACCTGGTGGTAAATTGTTGATACAAGGAAATATTCAAAGCTACAGAACATATCTGAGCCATGTCTGAGGCATATCAATTTTGCTTGAAGATTTGGGGAAAAAAATCAACTAAGAAATTTAGCCGGTAAATTATTTAAAATAAACTCATGTGTTATAATTTTTAAAGAGAATAATGAGACTTTAACATATTTTGAACTTTAAAAAAACCATCTGAGACCAGAGTGTTCACTATCTTCTGTTCTTAGGAGACCTTTGGTCAAAATGTTTGACTAACATCTATCTATCTAGACTTTTTAATGTCTTTCCAAAAGGATTTCATAAGAAAATTTGTCAAACCCTACATAAAAATCAATATACAATAAGTATATTTATGACACTATAGCAACCTAACAATTTATATAAGACTTACTTTGGCAGCATTTGCTGTTTAGAAAGTCTTATTGTCTTATTTAAAGTTCCCTAAACCGTATGTGTAATACTATATTCTACAGTTCATGTAGATATTAATTTTAGTATATTAAACTATGATTATGAGAATATTTTTGCTTTCTTTTTTAAATTGGGACATTCATCAAAGTTTTTTTATACTTGAATTTTCTTCCCAAGTATTTTTCTAGTATTTCCAAATTACAGTGTGTGATCAAATCCACTTGATTATTCATTATTATGAACAATTATTTTTAAGCCTCGTTTTATTTTATTTTTTTAAGATTCCTTTATTTATTTATTTATTTATTTATTTATTTTTGTTTTGTTAATCCTTACTACAAGATATTTTTCCATTGATTTTTAGAGATAGTGGAAGGGAGAGGGAGAGACAGAGAGCTGATAGAGACACATTAATTGGTTGCCTCCTGCACGTACCCTGACCAGGGCCAGGGCAACTGAGTACGTGCCCTTGACCAGAATCGAACCTGGGATCCTTCAGTCCACAGGCCGATGCTCTATCCACTGAGCCAAAATGGCTAGGAATCATTTTAGAGCAGCGAGACATACTCTTACCATCTCCAAACCCATGTTTTTTTTCTAAAACAATGGTTACTTTTTAAAATGAATTTTATTTAAACCTTTCCAATTTGAAGACAATTTTTTTAGATGGAGAAAACAGAAGCAAAAAGATTTCAACATTTCTTTTTTCTCACCATTATCAGTCAATCTAACATTAGTTTCACCAAGCAATAAGCTCACTTTCTTTTTGCTAAAAACTGTTTCTAGCTAAAATATTTATTTAATATTTATTTTGCAACTTCAGCTAATCCTTGATTTTATTCTTTCTGGCATTAATTTAAAAATTTGGGAAACCTCTTTTTTGTTCTTTCTAAATCTTACTTCTCTTTCTGTGCATATTAAAATATATAACAGCCCAGAGACCTGTACACAGTCCCATTGTACCCTCTTCTCCTTTGTTGTGTTGATTATTGTGATTTTATGTTGGATTTTTATTTTTAGAGCTCACTTGAGTCATATTTTCAAATCTTTATTTTTTGAGTTATTTTTAATTATACCTTGCGAATTCAAGTGTGTGTGGTCATATTTGCCTGAATTGTTTTTATTGATGAACTCCAAGATGAGAGTGTCACTTCTCCTAACCTCCTACTCCCAAATTCTCAGTATTTTTCTTTTTGCTTTCTTTAACATTAGTGAGATAACAGTTTCACCGAGGCAAGCCTCTATACCAAATGCTCTGCTTTTAGTGGAGCATTTTAAATTCAAGGGTCTTGCACTTAGACTCAATTATATAAATCTTCACTTATCAAAGTGTCTGGCAGTTTTCCTTTTATACTAGTACTAGAGGCCTGGTACACAAAATTCGTGCACAGAGGGGGAGGGGGAACCCTCAGCCCAGCCTGCACCCACTCCAATGGGGGACCCCTCAGGGGATGTCCAACTGCCGGTGGTCAGACACCCCTCTCACAATCTGAAACTGCTGGCTCCTAACCACTCACCTGCCTGCCTGCCTGATTGCCCCTAACCCCTCTGCCTGCCTGCCTGATCGCTCCTAACTGCCTCTGCCTGCCTGCCTGATCTTTCAAGATCAGACACACATCGGTCTTCAGACATTTTCTGTCGATAATGCCGGCTTCTTTCAGCTGCAGAGCTATATTGTATCAGTAGTTGCTCTTTAGACATAGTCCTACCTCCCTGCTGTCGCAGTCTGAAATGCAGATGAATGAGAGTCCTGGCTGTCAGGCTGCTGAGAGCTATCTGACCAACGGCTGATTCTGGCTGATTTTGTGGGGGTAGGACTTCCTCCTCCCTGCTGTCAGAGTCTTCGCAATGCAAGAGTTCTGTGCCTGGCT